ATGAAGTTATTAATGTTATGTCATTTATCAACCATTGGGAATGAAGTGTTCCACATTGCACAGCATGGGACAGACTGAGAAAGAACGATAGATGGGTGTTGGCAGATGACTGCTCCTGGATTGGGGCAGAGTCCACAAACAAAAAGCACTAACAGTGGAATGTCTACAACATGTAAAGTCCAAGGGAGGTCGAATCATGATGTTGACAATTTCCAATGAGATTGCCAAGAGAAGATAACTAGGATGGCCCCAGAAGGTAGAACCAAACAGTGGGGGAATCAACGATAGTGACTGGGACCCACTTGTGCAGACATGGAAAACTCAGTGAGAGTTTGAGCAACACTTGTGCATAGTTTCTAGGGGCTGTGCCACGTGAAATATTAACTAAGAATATAAACTGTGGTATATGGGGAAACCCAGAAATCAGAGCACATGAAATTGCAATACATTAGGTTCAAGGTGGGTGAGAGGAGTCCATAAATAAGAAAAAAATTCTTGAGATCTGTATCAGTCACGGTCCCAGCAAGAAACATGGGACACCCTTAACATTAAGATAAAATTAAGATTAAACCAAAGAGAGTACCAGGCTTGGTCTGCATGACTGAAAGACTGTGGCAGAAGAGATAGCATGCTATTTCTGAGTTTAGACCATAAAAGACCATAGCTTCTGCCTTGGGATCTTTCTCTCTCTCTGAGCTCATTCTCAGTAAACTCTCTTACAGGATGTGTGAATGAATGAAACAGAAAAGATAAATATAACATCAAGCACCTGATACTCCCATTCTCGTTTCCCTGGTTCAATATAGTTGTGACCACAGATAAGACTTTTCATAGTTAAACTTACCCCCATCTCCACCAACTCCCTATCACCCAAATTCCCATCCATGACAACAGAACCAACTACTTACTAGTCTCTTTCATACAAGATAGTTATAGTAGAAATCCTGGGGGTGGTCCTTTTCAATTTTTGGATTATTTCTCTTGACAACAAAAGGGTTATAACCACTACTGACCCAAATATTTCATACTACTTAGGGGGAAAGTTTAATAAATTAGAATTTTATTTTGGTGGATTAGGTTGGCCAGCATGAAGCTATCCTTTGTATAATAAAACACTTTGAGCCGAAACTCATTTGCTTTTTGAACCAGAAAAATAGAATGGGCTTGATTTATTTGTTTCCAAGGGGATAAAAACTATCTACAGAATCTGTTTTGCCTTTCTCATCTCAACTCCCATTTTTAGATAATCACACACAAAATCTTAAAAAACAGTGTCTACTGACTTCATCAAGTACAAGAAGTGCCAAGTATCACTGTACAAGTGTATTTCAAAGTCAGCACGTTACCAACAGAAATTCATTTTTGGTTATGTATTTATTCATTCACTCTTTAAACATTTACTGAACATATATCACTTGACTTTATTTTTTTACTTTACTTTTTTATTAAAAAAGTAATAAATAAATAAATAAAAAGAAAATAAGGCTATGGCCTTGAAGAGCTCACAACCAGCCTAGGTGGGGGCAAGTCAGACATTTAAAAAAAATACTGACAATAAGAAAGTATGCAAAGTACTATAGAGATAGTTTTGTAATAATTAATGATAGGCACTGAAACACTTTGATTCTTACAATAAGAAATCACTAGTTTAGCTCTTAAAGTCATAGCTTTTTACAGAACCAGAAAAGACTGCTATATATAAGAAATTTCTACAAGAAGAAAAATTACATATTTATTTGTAGGATGAAATTTGAAAAGAATCAAAACTATAGGTAGGACACAATTCAAATGTGTGTTTTGTATTTATTAGAAAATGTTCAGAGCAAAACTGCACACACTGCATCATTGCAGAGTTATATTACTTCATCAATACCTAACCTAATAAAATTATTTTCACATAGTGTTCTAAGAACTGAGATATCTCTACAGCATCCATAACTTTGGAGAGTTTAATGCTCAATCCTTTCATCTATTACTTGTTTTTATTCTAGAATTTTTTGTTTTGATATCATGTTTTGAATAGCTAGTTCTATTTAAAATTTAATAGCTAGTCTCTTTAAAAATATATAATTTCATACATAGCCAGGCAACGATCCTGGGTTATTTTGTTGATAAAAGAGGTGAAGCCATTAGACATGTTTGGTTGTTGGTGGGTGAAGAGAAGGGCAAAGTTAAGAAATCATCCTTTAGCTAGGTAGAGGGCAAAGGCACTAGGTCTGAAATCTGAATTTAAGGAACATTAAAATACTGGCAGCTAGAGAAATTCTTACCATTATTTTCTCTCAACACCATCTGCAGATGTGTGCATATTAATTGGCTTTGGGCATTCTGTTACCTAGGAGGAGTAACACATTTGATAGCTAAAATTAGAAGGCAGGCAAAAAAAAAAAAAAAAAAAAGAGTGAAAATACAAAGCTTGATGTGCCAATGTAGGTGGGGTGTTACAGCAAGAGACCCTGCCAGGCAGGAGTCCTTAATCACTGTAAGATGTGTGGCAGAGAGTGCTTGAGGCATGTTTCTGAAAGACAAAGCTATCTCACACTTACGTCTAGATTTCAGTTGTGGAAGGGTGAGAGTTGGAGCTATTCCCCATTCACACTGCCCTGGGTTTTTATAGCATGCTTTTCATTACATAGATTTGAATACATCAGTGATCAGGGTGATAGGTGAGGGGGTGACAGAGGAAGCCAGAAGGAAAACTAGAAGGCATTTGGCTTTTATCTGTTTTACTTGTTTAAACTAAGAGGAAAAAAAAAAAATCTCCTCAGCCTTTAAAAAAAAAAAAAGTCATAGAAGATGTTAATAAAAATAATAACTACGATTATGGAGTGCTTGTTATGCACTAGGCACTATGTTAAGTGTTTTACGTATATATTATTTCACTTAATGTCCTGTTTCCCCCACTCTTCTCAAATACTAAAAATCTCTTCCAGCATTACTCATTCACCAATCTTGGAGCAGACACCATGAAGATTACACTTTATTTGTAATTCTGAATTTATACATTCTCCTTCCCATGTGACGTTGTTGGAGTTACTTTCTGCTTAAGTTGGTGCATGGTGTGTCCCTGAGCTCTGATGGGAATGGTGTCCCTTTACTTTTTACTCGGCACCAGGCTCAGAGTTTCTTGGCCAGGCAGCCCTGGATACCTTTCATTGTAGGAGGAAGTGCCTTATTTCTGTCTCTGGCTTACTGAACTGCAAATCCCAGCCCCATTCAATTCTTGGATTCAAAGCCCTCACTCACCTGCTTATAGAACACCAGGGCAGGGAGAATGGTGTTCTTGCCTCAAGAAAGCAATTGGCCTCCTAATACTAACACCTTGAAATTCCAGTGAACACTATTTACAGTTCTGAGAAGACTATGGCAATAAGGCAGATCTGTCTTGGATGCCTTCCAAGAAGCCCAGCACCAAAGGGAAGTCCTGATAAAAACAGGCACGGTAATAGGCGCTCCAAATATTTTGAGTGGTTCACACTACAGAGGCTTTGCTGTTTTTCAGGAGAACCTGATCTCCCCTACTCGGTGGAGACTCAGACTGACTGCAATTCTACTCCTTTCAGTGAGCTACTGAGAGAAGGAACCTGCCATTACACCCAGGGTATTTTCTCTTTTGAAGAACCTTCCCTTCCTTCTTTCCTTCCTCTAAGTCTTTCCTTCTAAACTTTGTTTTTGTTGGTGGTATTTAGACATGCTGTTTTCTCTCCTCCGGGTGTGCTCTAGGATTTGATCTAATTGTCCTGCTGTTCGAGTGTCACTCGACACTATTATTGGGAAGATGAATGGGATGTAGGTCAGAGTTCAGCAAGAAAGCATCTGCTGCTTGCACCATGTAGGGGAAATGCTCAGAGGTGATCTTTAATGAAAGCTTGGAAAAGGTTTACACAGGGCAGGCTGTCCTCTATCCCTCCAAAGCAGCGGGGACCAATGGTGGTCCTTTTCTGGAAGTAAGAAAACGAATAAATAGGGGGTAGGGATATCCTTAAACAGAGTTCCTTGGGAGTGGGGTGGGGATGGAGAGGAGACAGGGATTACACAGGGAGGAGGTGAAAATGGAAGTTCTGGAATGGGTCTTCACAATTTTGTTTTGCTCATAGAACAATCTCACCAAAGAAGAGTTTCCACTCCTCTAGCAAAGACGCGCCTCCCCTGGTCTCAGGTTACTGCACTATGGCAGGCTCAGGTTCTCTTCCTGGACTCTCTTCGCGTTGACAGTTCTTCCACTTTACCAAGTAGCCAGAAGCCTCACAAAGACCTAGAATTGCCTTGGCATTCGAGGCTAGGGGAACAATGAATCCATTGTTATTTATTTATTTATTTGCCGTCTTGAATAGGGCAAATGTCTCCTCCATCTAATCCTGTCACCAAAGGAGGCTGAATATAGGGTCCTCTGAGACTCACCTTCCTTCCTCCCTCTCCTTTGTTCTTTAGTTATTAAGTGCCCCTCCTCACCCTCGCTCCTATCCCATTAAAGCTGTTTTGGGACCCGTGTGGACGTTGCCTTTTCCTGCCCTTCACAGAGTGGAAGTTGGAAGGGGAAGAAAGAAGCACAAATCAGGAAACTCATTTTCGTTCAGGAGTAACCAGCAGCCTGTGGTTCCTCCTGGGCCTCTGGGGAGACGCATCACGGTTGCCTGCAGGGCAGAAGCAAAAGAGTAGCCCACAGGAGCTCTGGGGCAAGCACTACAAATACACAGGGAGAGGACAGTCCCGCGTTACCTAGGACTCCAGCAGGAGCGGTCTCCTAGGATGGATGGGGATCCCGCCACCGGCTTTCCAGCGCTGCAGGCGCTACGAAGTCCCCGCGCAGGGCGCACATTTGCTGTGAGGTTTCCCCGACGCCTTCCGGGAACCCCGCGGAGCCCCAGCCGCCCTGCTGGGCGCAGTCTTGCTCGCCTCTTCCCCAATTCACTCCCCGTTCAGCTTCGACTCCGGAGCAAGCGCTCAGTGTCCCTCTCTGAGCATGCGCAGGCCGGCGCCCTCCCCGCCTCTCCAGCAACCTCCCCCCCCCGCCCCCTCCCCGCAAGCCTTTTGCTCCTTTCCTTTCATTAAACAAACAGGAGATCCTGAAACCTGGACCCTGCGCAAGCGGCTGCGCCGGGAGGAGGCGGAGGAGGAGGAGGCAGAGCGCGGGATGGGCGCCCGGCGGGTTCCCTGATCCCGCGCACCTCCGCCCCACGGGCGCGCGCGCACACTGACACACACATACACACACTCGCACAAACACACTCGTACACGCCCGCGCCGCGCGCTCGCCGGCTCGCTCTCCCACGCAGGCGGAATGCAGCAGCGCCCTGAAAGCGTGTCTCCGGCCGCTGCCTGAATGCACCTCGCTCCCGGGAGCCGGACGCACGGGAGGACGCTCCGTTGCGGGAGGTGAGTGTGGCGTCCGCCGCCACCCGCCGCTCCGGGACGTCGCCGCGGCGGGGCAGCGTGGGGCAGGTTCCCGGACGGACGCGGCGGCGCAGGTGGCCCACGCCTGGCATGTGGGTTTCGCGGCGCACATGAAGGCAGCGCCGGGGCTGCTCGGGGCGAGAGGGTGAACCCGGCGAGGGTCGCTTCCTGCGAGGTGTCAGATTGGCCCAGCAGAGAGCTACATCCTCCCTGCTCGTAAACTTTCCTCCCGTGACATTTGGGGAGCGTGGAGACAAAGGGGGCGTGGAGGCTCGCTCCGTCCCGTTCCATCCTCCTGACTGCATTCCGGTCTGCGACGCGAGCCGGCGCGCATGGGTGGGCGTGCGGGCGGGGGCGCCCTGCAGGTAGCTGATGCCAAGTCCTCCCACCCGGGCAGGGTTTGGGATTTCTCACCCGCGGCTGTAAGCGTTGCCATTGATTTTCTCTCAGGCATGGGCACCTGCCTGCCTTCCCGTCCACTCATCCCGAACCCCTGTCCCCATCCCCACCCCCACCCCGCGCCCTAGGCGGATAGTAGTGTGCGTGTCGGGGGTGTCACCTGGAAAATTGGAGGGGCAGCGTTCGGCTTTCTCATTCAGCGCCAGTGCCAAAGGCGCCAGGGTGAGGATCGGGTCAGTGAGAGGATAAATGATGAGTTCCTGAAAGGCTTGCCATAATCACCTCCTAGAAACGCTGGGCGCCAGGATCCCCCGGGGAAGGTGCTGTCTTCTCTCACGTCACCGCAGCAGCACCGGGAGCTGGTCTCGGGCTGCCGTGGCGGCGGCGTTAGGGGGAAACCGGGGTTTTGTTTTTTTCGCGGGGTTTTATGACTCACACGTGTGGAATATGTGGAGGATTCTGGGTTATTATTTTTCTTTGTGAGGATATCGTTTTTCCTTTCGCCCTCTTTCGTGGGAGACATTCTTTGCCGTCTGGTATCTAGTTGGTGAACAGGCACCTTTCTGACTATCTCTTCAGCTCAAGGAAATAGGTTCCGAGGAAAGGATTCCTTAAAATGCCAGCCCCAGTGGGGCGGGATCTCAGCTGCAAAGCGTCAGGCGCACCTGAGGAAAGTCTCAAATCTAATGGTGCTTTGAAACAGTGGAGACTAGATCAGCATGTGATGAGTCCAGGACTGGGACAAAGGGAAATGGAAGAGGGACAGATAATGGTCATTTAGGAGAGGTGTGTCCAGAGGCCAGTTAAGGCAGAACGAGGTAGACTGGAGGGGAGGTACTCTGCAGCCATCACTGAATTCAAATTCTTCTTCTACTTGTGTGGTTGACAGCTCCTATTCATCGAGTGGGACTCTAGTTTGGTGTGTCTGGAATGTCACATCTGGTGCATAATAGATTTCATTATTCTTGGGATAACCTTTAGCATAATCATAAATTCGTTCATTGGTTCTAGAAAGTGCCATGTGTGAAAGTTTCTCCATCTTGACATGTTTGAACCTGGAAGGCGGGATGGGCAGACAGGTACATTTTTGGTTCGTTTGCACCCTAGGAGCCTTGGATTTTTAAGAGAAGTGTATGGAGAACCTGGAAGTCATGTTGATGCTAACAGAAGTAAAAACTGGAAGCTCAGGTCCAGTACTCATGACTACTGGCCATCATCAGCAGGGATTCTCGTCACTTTGAGATGTCAGGTGGGGGCCATTTCTCTGCTGATCCCTGGGATGGGGGACCTTTTACATTTTTAACATTCTGTGACTTCTTAGAAGTGGATGAAAGCATGATGTACATGACAGTAATTGAGAAAGTTCGCATGTGAAAGAGACCTGTTAGCATAGTCAAAGGTGAAAAGGTTTTGGAGGAAAAAAAGTGAGTGAGTGAGAGAGAGAGCGATAGAGGGAGAGAGAGGGAGAGAAAGAGAGAGAGGAATTGGGAAAGGAACATGTTATTAAAACGGTTTGGCTTTTATGATTTTTAAAAGGAATTCAGTAACAGAAAAATCTTAAAACATTTAAAAAATTTTTCAAATAACTAGTGAAATAAAGACCTTTCCAGGAATATTTTCAAGTGAAATTGGCATAGAGGGGTTTTAAATATAATTGTCAGCATATGTCCTTTTTAATCCCATGGTGAACAGTCTCATCATTTTCTTTGCAAATCTTGGCAAGAAAAGATCAAGATTTTTGTGTGTGTTTTACTAGAGTTCTTTATTTGCTCTGTTACACTATATTTCCTCTTCCTTCATTTGCAAAATCAATTCTATTTGCAAGTGCTTATTGACTACCTATCCTGTATTTAGCCTTGGAAGTCATATTAAAATATATAACATAGCTCTGGTCCTCAAAGTGTTTATGTTCTAGTTGTAAACACAAGATTAACACACATGAGATGGAAAGTTGCATAGTTCTGTATTGTGCTGTGAACTCTTAACATGTATGCCATATACTTCACCCCCTCCTCCTGGATTTTCTCAACATTCAGAAAAGATGCATGAGCACTTATTATGTGCTGCAGGCTGGCAAAACAACAGCAACAACAAAAACCACAAATGCAAGGAAGCAAAAAAAAGTGGTCCTTCTTCTTAAAGAAACAGGTATTTAATTGTGATGCGATCTGATTACATAATTGTAAGGTAAACCATGTGCCAATAGTATAGACACGTAAATGATCCTTTTCTTCCCCTGAGTAGGTGATCTTTGAGATATTTTTGAAAAATGGATAGTCTTTTATCAGATAGAAAAGGATAGAAAGGTCATTCCAGTCAGAGGAAATGTTTGAGAGTGCCTGATAAATTAGAGTCATTCTAAGCTATCCAATGTGCTTAGAGCCATCGAGGGTGAAACAGCAACTAGGTGACACTAATTAACAACTAATGCTATAGAGGAAGTTTTTGAAAGAGATATACCCAGGATGCTATGAAAGCACAGAGGGAGGGCATCCAACTCAAGAAGAGTAAGATATCAAAAGATTTCTTAGGGAGGTAGATATGAACTGAGTCTTACACGAGGACAAGGAAAAGAGAAGGGCTTTCCAGGCAGACAAAAACTTTCTAAGGACTGGAAGTAGTTCTGTGTGGCTGCAGCGAGAGATGTGGGTTCTTAGCTTTTTAGACTGGTACAACATCAAATTAGAGAAATAAGCAGGGATCAAGTGTAAATGCAACTATCTCTTCGTGTGGAAGGCTAGGAGTATTTGAAGGTTGGGAAAGTTTGAGACATGATCAGATTTGCATTAGAGAATGATGACTGTGACCGCAGTGTGGAGGTTGAATTGGAGGTGGTGAGACTGGAGGCAGGGAGCTTATTGTGGAAATATAGGTGTGAAATGATGAGGGTGTTGGCAGTAGAGGTGGACAGGAGGAGGAGATATATCTGAAAGACAAGTGAGGTGAGTAAAACCTGCTAATCTAAGAACCTCCTTCCGTGTGCTCCATAGCATCCTCTACTTCCCCAGCATTCACTTGTGTAGGTGTCTTTTCTGCATGGTGAGAGCAGGGCATTCACAGCTGCATCACCAGCATGGAGCAAGGCTTTTTACAGAATAGGGACTCAATATAATATTTGTTGAACTAAATGAATAAGAAATTCAGGCAGGAAGTGATGACTCCTGCATTAGAAGAGTAGATTCTAAATCATGGCTTCCATTTCTCCAAGGTGATCAACTAACTTGGAGGTCAGTGATGAAATGTTCCAGGGAGGCTACAGATAAAAACAAAAACACATTTTCTTAGCCACCTCTATGAATAAGAACTGTGCTCTGAAGTCCACTAGGAAATAGCATCATATTTTTTATATTTAAAAAATGATGTCATCACTGCATCTTGGAAGCAACAGCACTTAATACAGTTCCTGATAATAGTAGGCTGGCAGTACATGTGAATCCCTTTATCCTTGCCCCTTACTTGTCAGAATTTCACGATTTTGTGTACTTTGTGAAAACTATAAAAATAATCTGGACGAGGGAGTTCATAAGCCACAGAGTCTCATTTAAAGAGCTCATAGCATCTTGACATCCTGACATGAAGGCCAGATCACCCATGTTTCAGTCATCAAGAGCACAGTTCTAGGAACTACGTCCCTTAGTGAACCAAACCCAAACATGTTGAGTTTCTGTCTGAAAATCCCATTAAGAGATATCAGAATGGAGAAAAACATAGTCAAAATTTGTTTGCAGATTGACCACAGGGGGTGCAACCAAAGGAGAATCAAAGATAGCACTGTGGGTTTGACCAGCGGTAGCTGGATGGATGGTAGCAGAGGAATGAGGAGGGAGGTTAGCTCGGGAAAGTGAAAGGCCTGATGCTGTTTTGCAGAAATCGACTTTGGGGTGACACAGGGATATCTTGGAAAGCACTGGTACAGATCCCAGCATATAGGAATTTCACAGTAAATGCCAACTATTATTTTTATTAAGGAAAATGATGGAAAGAGCAGGAGACCATAGAGCCAAGGACTATATTTCAGCATTTAGCAAAATGTTGGGATTAAGGAGAGAAATAAGTGCCAGAAAAGAACATACACAGGCAAGAAGAAAAAGAACTGGCAGAAGCCTCAGGGAATCATGAGAAGGGATGATCAGACTTCATAGAAGTGACCCTAACTGTTTCAAGCTTTGTGTAAGTGCCTACATGTGGAATCTTGTTTAGTCCCCACATGACTCATTTTCCCACTGTACAGCTGACGTGGCTGAGACAGAGAGGACCTGTAGCTCATCCATAGATACCAAGCTAAAAAGTTTCAGAGTCAGGTCTCAAAGCCCATTTTCATAATCATACAAGCTGTTTCCCTTCATCAAATGTGTAAATTACTAGGAAAATTTTAAGTTAGGAGAACAAGAAAAAATTGAAAGTAGGCAACTGAAAAGGGACAAGGAAAAGAAGTTTTCTGGTGACCATTAGGAAAGCAATCTTAGTACAATAGTGTGCTCAGAAGACATTTCAGGGAGTTCAGTGGGGAATGGGAGGCTGAAAAAAAAAATCCAGGCAGTGTGTAACTATCTGTCATTTATGAATCTGGTGGGGGAAAGAGT